ATTCACATCAGTTATAAGCACATATAGATAATAAATATGTTTATTTAAAAAACAAAACAAATATGACTAAAAAACAGCACGATGACATTTTTTGTTTCTCTCTGTCTTTCTCTCTCTCTCTCTCTCTCTCTCTCTCTCTCTCTCTCTCTCTCTTTCACCCAGTGAGTGATAACGTTCTGCTGTAATTTTTTTAAATAGCTGGGTATTCTCACTAATTACTGCATTTCCTCTGAGTTGATCAGCGACACATTGGCTTTAACACAATTTTCTCGTTAGCTTCAGCGTATTGTGTCTGCTCGAGGTTTTCCGCCCGGAGTTTGGTTTCCACCAGCACGTTGACAATATCACTGTAAAACCTTTGTGACATTCAGGAAATGCTTTTTATTTCCTTTGTCTTGATATAAAAAACACAACTTAAGCTTAATGAATTATTGGCAATAAGGATTCGTAAGATCCTTTGTCCGTCGGTCTTTTTGTGTTGTTTGCAACGACTGAGTTCCAGTGTGATGGAATTTGACATTTCATCTGATGTCCGTCATGGCTGCCAATGTGATTCTGATTCATTAGAAATGGACAGTCACGAGGCCAAACCCTCTGTGACCCGTTCACATGCACAGTCCTGAGAGCTTTTCATTTATGAACCGAGTAAGATGAAGGTTCAGGGATTCTTTTTTTTATAAGTGTTACATTTCAGGTCTTGTTGAAAATGTTTCTGAAAGGTGCCAAAAAATCATTTTGTCCATAGCGGGAAAAATATGACCTAAAATGCCGGCTACACGTTTCAGCGTAATTCTGTGCATACCTCTGTGCTGGTGAGCCTCATGAACACATCCCCCATGATGCCTTGCCACTGGCACTTGAGCACTCGTTCCTGGAGAGTGTGGAGCAGCTCGAGATGCTGCTGGATGAGAAACCTCAGAGAGCTGGGAAACGGACTGAAGACGAGACAGGGAGGAGAATCATTTTCCACCATATTAACTCAACTCCAGGGATCGTGTGTAAAGACGGATCGCCGCCTGATGGCTGGGGGCAGTATAGGTCATAAACCCTGCCCCCTCCATGTTAGCAGATGAGACATAAATTGAAGTAGATGAAAAATAAACAGTTTCCACTTAAGTTTGATTAGTTTGGTCTCAATTAGATATAAAAACATCTTGATTTCATAAACATGTTCTTCCTTTACAGAAAATCAGCCGGCTCGTGTGCGTGGAGGTAATGTTAAACTCTCTGACAGATCATTGGGCCATCATCTTATGTGACGAACATCCAGCTGCAGCTAAATCGAGTTTAAACAAATGCAATCATTTACAAATACCATTCGACCCAGTTCTACCTTTTCATGTGTGCGTCAGGTCACTGTGACCACGTGTGCTGAAGCTGAGCAGTGATCACATTAGAGTCGTTTCAACAGAGCATCCTCTCTGTCTCACTGGTGTTTATAACCTGCTCTTATTTGATTTGTTCATTTCCTGCTCTGCTCTCACTGTCAGCTCTCAAATTAGATCAGCAGCCGCTCCTAGAATAAATTCTGTGTGTGTGTGTGTGTGTGTGTGCAAAATGACTGTAGTCTGTGATATTCGTTGAGTTCCTCGCTCGAAGCATTAGAGATCTTTTCTACGTCAGATAAAGTCGTCGATGTCTGCTTCTGATTCTGTGTTTCCATGGGTCGTCCACTAACCAGAAGGTCGGTGGTTTGAATCCTGGTTTGAATTGTGTCAATACCTCCTTATGCTTGTTTTTTATGTCTGTGTAAGATCTCTGAGATCCCTCCCTCTGTCTGCTTTGTCAAACATGTCGTCTTTGTGTGTGCGTGGTCTCACCGCTTGTCTTTGGGGGCGATGGGCTCCGACCCGTTGAAGGAGATGTTGGCCTTCAGTAACAGAGACAAGTGGGAGACGTAAACTCTCTCCGACTCCAGCAGCTCCAGAGCGGCTCTCTGCCTCTTGTCTGCACACACACAGGAAAACAAACTGTGAGTTTTAATCTCACACTGCATCAGACATCAGACATCAGACCCAACGTCAGTGAAATATCGTACTGGGTTCACTTTGACTGGTGAGGGCGTCTGTGTCGTCTCTGCTCGTCTTCCTCTCTCCCCATGATGGACAACCTCTCTGCAGCTGCGCCTCCTGCTCAAAGGCTGCAACACACACACACACACACACACACACACACACACACACAC